GTAGTGCAGGGGCCCAAGAGTCTCGGTATTATCTGGTATTGTATTCTATAAAGAAAAAAGGGGGGGTCTAAGCGCAGAATAAGCAGCACAAGAACAAATCAGTTCGGTGCAGTGCATTCAAATCGAGTGAGACGCGGAGGAAGTGACAAAGCACCACATATTAGCAGCGGTATAGACTGACCTGAGTGGAGAAGGCGTGATTGGAGCAGTTACAACGCATGCCGAGGGAACGACTGCGTTCAATGCAGCTAGTCTGTCTGCGGAGTGTGGAGAGAACATGCCGACGTCTGTAGCCCCCGTCCTTCAACACAGAATCGCCCTGTCATACTTCCTCTTTCCTATGGCCACCATATCCTTACTTGCATACATGGTATGCACTAATAGCATGTGCCAATGAGTTTTGTAATGTTTGTTGCGCAAAGGAATGCCCGGATGTTTTTAATAATTTGTTATTTCTCATAATTTGAATTAGGCATACGCGTTATGACCGTGCGCTTGGTGATGACAACGTGGCGCAAACATTGCAGCAGTATCGGCAATGCCATAGGTGGGCAAGCCAATCCTTTTGGCTTCATTTTTCAAGCTGCATTCTAATGTACTGCCTTCCCAAAGGATCAAGACGCATACAACTGGAATTAATACCTCGTCCATTTTTTTCCGGGAGAAAATGGTATGGTTTTGTGTTAGGCATTGCCCTTTTAACTCAAACGTTTTACAAAGGATTCGCTACTTCAAAGGAAAAAATTCGTCTGAGGTGCATCATTATGATCGAATGAACTCATGGGAATTCAAAAGTTTACATTATAAATCGGCAAAAATGTAGTAACATAAAACTTATTGCATGACAGACGATCCGTAGACGACAGAGTCAGTCAGCAAAAGAATACGATACGGACATTTACTTAAGACAACGCCAAAGTGCACCGACAACGAAACATTGCAAATAAGCGAAGGAACGAGCAATCAACTAAATGAACTTGCAAACAGAAATGTGGCTTACGGAAGAGACAGAAATGTGTGCGAAGGCTCGCCCACTGGCCCCAATTCCAGGCCCATTCGGGTTGTCATTGCCTTGAGACAACGCCTCCGTTGCTCTAGTAAACTCGGCCTCAATGCAGGGAGAGGGGAGAGAAAAGGAGATGAATGAACAAAAGGAGGATAAGGGCAGAGGAGGAGAAATACGACATTGGAGGTTAAAGAACTTACAAGAAAATCACTGTGTCCCGAGTGCGTCCATGAACCGATAGTCTGTATGTGCGGATCTTGACCGATTCCCTAAAGGACCCAAATAAAGCAAAATATGAGGTGCAGTCTTTCGTTGATGGGATAAATTTGGTGAGGGCGAGTAGTCACAAATGGCCCCAGAGGCAATTTACCCATACCTGAGACTGAAGTATAGGGTAGCAGACTCCTTTTCCGTTCAGAGCAGAACATATGACGAGCAAATGTTCTACTAGTGGTTTTGGCAGTGAGATTTAGAGGACTTGTAATAGGTTGTAATTAGGTCTAGATAAGCCAAGCCCGGGACACACATACACCTACATCCAAAGCGATGGTACTTTTGTTCATTTTTTTATTTCCTTGGGAAACAAAGAGGAATTACATTGTACCCCTATGCTTTTGGCTCGAGAGTGGAATCTTAATTTTTGTGTTAATTAT